AATGAAACAAGATTTATGCAAAATTAAAAAGTGTTCTTATTAAATATTCTTGAGTGACTTTAGAGATGTTTGTGGTGCCCAATAGATACAGACATGAGCTCCAAATGGTAGACAGCCTATTTGTTTGTATCATTATAAAAACAGGAAGAAGAAAAAGAAGAAGCTGTATTATCTTTTTACTTTATCACAAGTTTGCAGATCTCTGCAAGAAGAGGAAAAACTGTTTAAAAACCTCATATGGTGTGGGCTTACCACAAACCAATTACCAGTGCCTTAAAAGAGCATAAATAAACAAAGCTTTATGAAAACCTCCATCTTATTTCCTGCTTAACAGTCACAGTGATGTGTAGCATACCCATCTGCTGTGGGTGTGCTGGTGAGCTTTTTCTTCCTTGAAATCCCTCCCCATTCTGTGTAACAGGAGCTCCAGTTCCAGTCTGTGTCAATGCAAAACTGTTCTTTCCAACTATATCAAGTCAAAACAGAACTGAAAATCTGCTGAGACAGGCCGGACTTTTACCCCTCACCTTCAGTCCTCATGTAAAGCACTGCTAACCTGCAATGACACACAGTCTTAACTACAGCTGTAAAAATCACTTATTGTCACTGAGCAACATGCGTAATTGCAAAAACCTACCCCACAGCAAGTCTCTCTCCGGATGAAGCATTTCATCTGTTATTATAAAAATGACAAAACCCCGAGGGGGGGGGGGATTGGCAGATCACTGCAGAAGGAGCCTTCTTTTTATGTAACCTAAGATTCATGTCTAAGCTCTACAATGCCACTGACAATAAGGGATTACACAAAACTCGCACTCCTCAAAGAATTCATGTGAGGCTTAGTCCTTATATAAGACTGTTGCTGCAGAGATGATTTAATGCTTCCTTACCCTTTAAGGCAATGATCTCGTTTAAGGCACAGCGGTTGACTTCTTGGCCCCAGAGAGATTTGGGGAAAAGGTTACATACCAGAGCATCAGAGAGCTCTCGGAGAACTGCAATCTCCTTTGCTCTGGACATAAACAAGAGCTGTCTGAAAGAAAGCAAAAGAACGAGAACAGGAACTATGAGTAAGTGCTCAGTGTTTATCGCCACGAGTAAGTGCGTGATCATAATCTTAATTCTGATGTGGCACGCCACTCTTAAAACTATGTGCCTTAGGAAAAATGCATTATCGCAAGGTACAGTAAAAAGTAAATTATTCATTCAGAGTTGCATGAAGACATGGCAGGAATTATTCGGCATTCTGCTTGAGGTTTGTGTAATTAGCCGTCTGGACAAACAAGCAAGATAAACAGGGGACTAATTTTGCACTGAAAGGGAGGCCGGTAAAGGAAATCAACATGTCACATAGCTCACGACACATTCATCAAACAGTTGTAGTACAAGACATTGCACAAGCACGGTCATCTACCCTCAGAACACCCACCACCCACTCCATCTGCCTTCTCCCTCAAGTCCCTCATGTTTAAAATATTTTCTTGCTGGTAAAAGGATAAATCTAGAAACCGCATGTACCATTTCCCACAGTTTCACAGAGCTTTGGATTGAATAAGCTGCTACAATTCGATCACTAAACGCACCTTTCCCTTTACCCTTGGTCCTGGTGCCGTCTGAATTCCCTGTGCCGTGCGAGCTCCTGCGGGGGGAGAGAAGAAAAAAAACGCCACCAAACAAATCCAGGTCAATTCCAATTTCAGACGCAGAAGGTGGCAGTTACAGTCATTGCTTTGAGGCTCACTACGGTTCAGTCAAGTCAGCGGGGTGCAAAAGATGACAGCCACTCACACATCACTATCTCCCCCCTCGCCTTTGCTCTCCTGTGAAGCCAGAGAGGCTTTTTCGGTGTCTGATCCATAGAGCTCCTCCACGGAGTTTTTGGATGTCACCAGTGTGTGAATGGGTGGATGACTGGATGTGTAAAGCGCTTTGGGGTCCTTAGGGACTAGTAAAGCGCTATACAAATACAGTATGGCCACAATCTCCAGATGTCAATCCAGTAAGGGCACCCTTAGGATGTGGTGGAATGGAAGATTGACATGATTAATGTGCACCCAACCGCAGGAACTGTGTGATGCCATCGTGTCAGTGTGGACCAAAATCTTTGATTGTTGGGGTTTTCTCTGTAAAATTGTAGCGTCTTGTACCTTACAATACAACTGTGCAAATCAGAAGTCAACAAACCAGTTTAAGGGAGAAAACTGGGAACAAAGATACAACAAAACAGAACTTTCATTTGTCCTTTTACCTGCCATCTGTTGCTGAAGTGTACAATATCCATGTAGCTCTTCTTGATGTCCCATTGGAGG